TAATATGTGTGGTTTATATATAAAAAGATTTTTGGATCATATATATATATATAGAATATAATGATTTTGTTGTAATTATCAATGATACAACATATCTATACTCCAAATATTTTATTATTAGTTACATATCAAAAGAATGTAAGCTTTTTGTTGACATTACTGGATTAATTTCCAGATAGTGGATCAATAAGACAGGCTGCAAGTGAAATCGAAAAAGTGTTCGAGTTCGTTCCATATTTTTCTACAGACATCATGCATCCTGCAAGTAGTAGCGATAAACATTTTTCAAGCGAGAAAACATATCACGAAGGTGGTAGTGAGAGTCAAGTACTGACCAAAATGTCGTCGACTGTCACGCATTCTTCAACAACGTCTATGAAGAAGGAATTCTTATCCTCTACCATGACTTCCACTTTATCACAATTTGGGCATGAACCTACCAGCATTTGCACAAAAGCAACTGTGCAAAGTTCCGAACAATCCACCTCAGAAAACGGAGCACCACCTGTCGTACAGGTAAATATACTTAAGATACATTTGTTTATACAATATTTTTGTGAATGTGATAGCTTGTGCTCCACTTGTTTTATTATTGCCAAGTATTCGTGAATGCACTTAAACATTACATAGTGTGTTGGTCGATCGAAACATTATTTTTCAGTCGCACAAAATCGAGGAATATGAAAAAATTATACAGGAGCGGCCTGGCGAGATGAAACAAGAGAAAACCGTGGTATCTGAAGAAACAGAAGGTGTGAAACATGATGTTAAGACAAGCCAAATTCAAAAACCATGTAGAAAACCGATAGCACCTAGATTCATTTCACCAATCACAGGAATGATTGTTGACCAAGGAACTGATGTAATTCTCGAGGGTATCATTGATGGTAAATACTTTTATATATTTGTTATATAATTTATGATTTATAATTTAAAGATTGTAATTTTTGTCAGTACATTTATGATTGCCTTTTCATTATTTTTATTCCTTTTGGTTTGCTTTAGGTTTCCCACAACCGATAATTTTGTGGTCAAAGAACGGTCAAGAGATATCGTTGAAAGATAAAATAATAAAAGCTAGTTGTGTTCATAATCATGTAAAATTAGAACTGAAAGATGTCAATGTAAAAGATGCTGGACGTTATACTTGCACAGTGAGCAATGACGTTGGAAGTGCCAGTAGCACGGCTGACTTAATTGTTAAAAGTAAGTAAGTGCAGATAGATAGATAAATTAAAAATAGATAAATTAAAAAAAATTAATAAAATTTATAGAATGTGTTAAAATAATAATTTATATATATTTTTAGAAACAATATTTCCTCCGGTTTTCGGAAAGCGGCTTAAGGCTCAAGTAATAAAGAAAGGAGATCGTATTATTATGGAAGTGGAAATTACTGGTATACCTGAACCTACAATCAGTTGGTATAAAAATGATGTGCCGATTAATGAACAACCACCAAAATTGAGAATTATTCAGCAAGGAAATTGTTACACATTGCTCATAGACAAAGGTATATTTTTATTCAGGTATTCTCATTACACGATTAAATAAATTTCTTTACCATTCCCTTGCTCTGTGGCTGTCGCTATGTGACATTTGGAATTTACCAATTTATTATATATTATTATTAGCTAAAGAAGAAGATGCTGGCAAATATATGGTACGAGCGACAAATACCGGTGGCGAGGCTCAAAGTATTGCTGATATTGCGATTTTTGATCCAAAGCCAGATACTATGATTGAGATGCATAAAACCGTTACCTATGAAAATATCCAGGATAAAAGTGTTGTCCAGGTAACTAGTGGTTTACTTCTTTTATAAGCAAGCTTACAGTATAAAGCTATGAAATAAAACTTAACAATCATCTCCAATTGTTTAATTTCTTATTCATCTAAATATTTATAAAATTCTTATATACTTGTACTTAGTCTGAGGCAAAAAAAGAAGAGACATCATCAGGCACTCTTTTGACGAACGAACAAACACCAACGACAACGATCGAATCAACTACATTGCTCAGGCCAATCACGACACTAGCATCGACTAGCACAATTGACACCATGGAAATAATCGACAAACCGGAAATAAAGACTAGTAAATCGGAAACAATTTCATCTATGATCGAATCTCATGAAACCGAAACAAAGTCAGAACAGAAGTTCCATATGAAATTGGAACATAAATCTCCGTCTATTATGGAGTTTAAATCACGAGCTGAACAAACGATCGCGATAAAGGAAATCGACCGTGACAAAGAAGATGTTACGAAGCCGTTAATAAAAACGGAGGAAAAATTAATAATTGATAATGATAACGTAGAAACTTCTACAATTGCAAAAAAAGATGCGTTGAATTTTTTCGAATCTATTACAAAAGAAAGTGAGATAATGCCGAAAGGGCCAAAGGAAATGATTAAATTGACAGACGATGGTCAAGTTCAAGAAGCAAAAGTTGGACAATTAACAAAGAGTTATGAACGTGCAACTATCTCTCAAGAAACGAAGAAACCAGAAATAAGGTTGTTTGAATTTGAAACAACAAAAAAAACCGCCCGGGAAGTTTTTACCAAATTAGAACAAGGATCATTATCTCGTGGAGTGGAAAACAAATTGTTTGAATTCCCATACAAGAGTCCTAAGTTACCCCCCGTGGAAGTAAAAAAATCTGACAGTATAGCTTCCGATTTATCTGCCTCGCAACTGCAGATTCAAACAGAGAGTTTTGAAACAGCGATGAAAAGTTTTGATCTCGTACCGGAACCACCTCCTGAAATATGTTACATGCCAAAGCCGGAAGAAGCAAAAAAAAACGACCTGATGTGTTTGTTAAGGCAAAACAGCTTCAGGAATCTTTTGATAAGACATTGTCTCCAATAGATGCTCCAGTCGGCGGTGTAAAAATCTTTCCTACGCCCACTCCAAAAGTGTCAGAACCTGTCAAATTTGCGGAACCTGCTTTGACATTCATGATACCACCGCCATTTGAACTCGAAAAGAAGGAAACATTTGAAGAAACGTGCGTAAAGGAAGATGTATATGAGAAGAAAGAAAGCAAATATTTTAAAGAAGAAAAATTGGAACCACCGAAATACACTTCAACATCTATTTTGAGAAGTACTTCTCCTACCAGACCATGGTCATCGTCATCGGACGTGGAAACCAAATCGCACGTGTCTACAGATTTATCGGAATATAGATGTCACTCTGCTGCTTCTAGTCATCAAGAGCTTTTAAGACCAACATCACCTAAACCATCTGCGGGTGCATTGACAATGGAAAAATCCTGGGCGAAAAAATATACAGATTCGAATAGAAAGTCATGGCCACCTCAAACTAAATCCACTCAAAAAGACAAATGGCATATTCCTGTCGATGAATACAAGAGTTCTTCAAGAGAATTTCAGCAAAAGATTGAAGAAACACCACAAGGCGGAATAAAAAAAACTAGTACGGAATCATCTGCTCATGTAGAGAAACGCTCATGGTGCAGCAAGGAGGAATTTACTGAAAAGATAGTGGAAGCATCTCCGCCCACATCAAAATTAGGTCCGATAATTTATAATGCCGAGACGATTAAAGTCGATCATACTGTGAACACTGTGCAAGAGGAAGCTTTGTTCGAAAAATATATTACCGAATGCAATGTAGAAAAAGCTGAAACAATGAAAAAATTTGAAAACTTTAGCTCAAAACGTTGGGCAGAAGACAAAGAATTGAAAGCACCTAGTTTGGTGAAAAAGGTTGAACCAACTACGAAATCGTTTGCCACATCATATCATCTTATGGAAACAGGAGTAGATTCGATCGTTCTTGAGCCAGGATCTCCTCCGGAGATTGGATATATTCCACTATCCGTTATCCAAAAAAAACCTATATCCGAGCATATTAAAAAAGTAGAAAAGAAGGCAGAAGAACCGCCAATACTTCCACCGAAAGATCTACGTATTACACCGCCGCCTATCCCAGCCAAGAAACCTACCAAAGTTTCTGCACCAATTCCGTCAAAGTTCATGAAGGGTTCTTTAGTCATGAAAGCGATTATGAATCCGATCTCGATAGTCGTCCAAAAGCTAAGTGGAGACCGTACGAAAGTGATAACGAAGAACCGCATTATCGAAGAGTTAAAGCACCTATTCCAAAACAATCGACAAGACCAAGATCTACCGAACCTGAGCCAGTTCCACCTTCCAAATTCGAGACTCCTGCACAATTTACAGGACCATCTAGATCGCTCATTACTACTGAATCTTCCGAAAAAACTGCAAAGAAAATGGCATTTAAACGACACGAAAGGGAATTCAAGCAACAACAAAGTTTGATGCCTATAAAACCTGGTTCCCCACCGATTTATGTACAACCAAGCGCAAAAAATTCCGTGCCAAAATCTCCTTGCGTCAAAAAACCGGAATCTCCAAAATTGAAAGCAAAAGTCTTTCAGCAAGAAAGCGGTTATATGGCGGACACTGATGAGCCATTCCAGCAAAAGGCTTCATCCACGATGACACAGAAATTTTTTGGAAAACATGACGATTCCTCGACAGTGGTCCATATGGAGAGTCGTACTATAAGTACTGAAAGAATAAAATCCATTGAAAGTCACAGTTGCGAAAGTGATCATTTGCGGAAAGAAGAATCTTCAACGCCATTTAAAGCTCTTCAACAACAACGTAACTCGTTCGAAAAGAGCTATGAGTCAACAACTAATAGTGGCCTATGCAGATTCGAATCCATGAAGGTTCGAAATTTGATGCGTGTTCGTGTGTCATTTCAAATGTTGCTTTTCCGTGCTTGCCTAAGAAATTGACTAATATAAATATAAAATATAAACCATAAGTACTGTGGAATTTTAATTATAGACCTTAGTATGAAATGCTTTAATTATTATTAGAATGTATTAATAAACGTGTGCATATTTCCTTCTTCTGTATATATATATGGGTGTGTGTGTGTGTGTGTGTGTGTGTGTGTGTGTGTGTGGTGTGTGGTGTGTGTGTGTGTGTGTTATATTTATATAAGCTATGTTAGAACATAAAGTATTAAAAATTATTGTTAGCAGTATGTGAATAATACACAAAAAAAATTAAGTAATAATTAACAATAATTTAAAAGAGCATGCATATAACTACTGTTTATTCCTGATTATATTATGTTATAACTTTATGCATTTTAAATAGAAATTAGAGATTAACACTTTAATAAACAAATGTTTAATTTCGTTTTAGTTTTTTAATAATGTGTAATCATCTTTTGCTTTATCCAAAACAAATTTTCTTATCTTCCCGCTTTATAAGCTATTTCTTTAATTTTTTTGACTATCGACTTTTGTCTTTTCTGCAGTTGCTATGTCTGCATAATATATTTTTATAAAGCATGCCTTCCACACATTATCTCGTGCTGTAATCATCTTTTCATTATCGTAAGGTCAAGAAAAGTCCGAAATTTTGTCGATATTAATTTATGAAAGTAACATTTAAAAAGTATTACGACCAAAATTCGGGTTTTGATTATTCTAGCTCAATAAGATCTACTCGACGTATAGAACGTGCGCATAGCTACTATTACTCTACTATAAAAATACATCTTTCCTTGATTTTTCTTATATTTTTTCTTATATTTTTTTCTCGAATTATTGGAATACGTTTAAATAAAGATCATCTGGACAAACTTTTTACATAGGCAAGCCAATGAAGATGAGTTTGTCTTATAAGCAAGATACAGCGGTTGTACCAACAAAACCAAAAACGGTTCTCTTACCAGGCTCTCCGCCGGAAATCGCTTACGCGCCACCGCAACCGCAGCAACAGTTTTATCAGACACGCACAAGTATACCGTTTACCAACGCGGTGGGTACAGAGACGAAAAAAACCGTGAGGATGGACGAATCAACAGAGAATGCTAGAAGAATTGTTACCGTCGAGCAAACAAGCCGTGTCATCAAATTCGGTGACGTCAATATCACACCTACTCAGAAACAACAATCGCATTATCGTGTGCCTACACCGAAAAAGTTTGTGCAAGGACAATTTCGAGAATCTGATTATGAGAGCGATGTAGATTCAAGCAGAATTCGACCGAAATGGGCTCCAGCGGATAGTGACACAGAGGAGCCATGTTATCGAAGAGTTCAACCACCCACAGGAAAGAGTCCAAGATCTTTAAGCGCACCAGTCAGACAGACGCACGTTGCATCACCGATGGAGTTCGACACCGGTCCTCCTCCAATGTCGCTGATGGAAATTTCTAAAGAAGATACAGACAAAAAGATCAATTTCCAAAGATATCAGCAACGTATAATTTCCGGAAAAATCGATAATATTTTGCAACCTGGTTCACCACCTGAATATGGATTCATCTCGAGAAGCGACGTAAAACGAGCAGCAAGCCGTAAGGGCAATCTTAATGCTATATAATGCCTTTGTATAAGCAACGATAGAAATATATTTTTTATTTGCAATAATGGTAGACAAATAGATAAATTACATAAATTACACTCACAATTATCGCTTTATATATTTGCTGATCTGTACATTTGTCTATTTAACTGATTTTTAATTTTCTTGATCTGTACATTTGTCTATTTAACTGATTTTTAATTTTCTTCTCTTTATTTTCTTCTTATTCCGTAAACTGTTCTTTACTCTGTCGGATACCTTTCAATTGTTTGAAAAATAGTAAATCTTTATTTCGTATTACAAAATTCTGAAATCTTCGCAGACATCGCATCACGTCATATGAGTGATATGACGAGCAGTTTCAAATTTAAAACCGAGAAGTTTGTAAATGATATTCAATCGGATTTGAGGCAAGGTAAACCGATTCTAAAACATCCTAACCAAGACTCCAAGATGACCGATAATGACGAGCCAAGAACTTACCGAGAAGAATCACGAGTCTCCGAACATGGTAATGACAATATTACCTTTCTTTTTAATCTAAATAGCAGATTAGGCTCGTGCTGATTACGTGATTCATAAATGTATTAAATGTATTAATATATACGTGATGGATATAATACAGGATAATGCATATATATGCATGCCACGCATATATATATATATATAAATTTAAGTGTTAATAAAGCATTTTGTCCGATTGAAATGTAGAATATATCATACCTACTGTTAATTTCATAAATTATACATAAAATAATGCTCGTTGACGCAAATAGGAACAAAACAAATTGATCCGGATACTGGACTCATATATTTCAAGTACGATTTTGGCTACGAATTCGGTATTGTGTTACCTGGCGAGGGTAAGAAGACGGTCGAAAATAGCAAGAAGACTATTCAAGGACAGAGACGTTCGAGCGATATAGAGGTGCCTATAATTCACGAATTTACTGAAAAGAAAACGAATGGTTTTACGAAGAAAGGCACATTTCTAAGTCGACAGAACAAGCCAGGAAATAAATTTGGAAACTCGAAAACTGTCAAGTGGGAGGCAACATCGGAAAGCGAGTTTTCCGAAGCTGAAGACACGAGGAATCTTAATAGAAAGCAATTGAATAATAGAGGTGTAGAAAATTCAATGACACCTCCAAGTCTTATCATACCTAGTCCTGTGTCACCATCAAGATGGGATCGTATAACGCCCAGCCCGCTTTCTCTTAGCCCAAGCTTGCCGAGCCTCTCTCCCAGACAGAGTAGCGCTACTGGACCACCTAGCAATGTGGATTCTGCAGGTACATACCTGCCATCGAAAATATTTGCGTGTTCTCTTCATCAGCTTTTTATCTTGCACTTTTTTATCTTGTTTTATGTCTTCTTTACGTTATTACATCTCTTTCTATCTATCAACAGTCTTTTATAGCTTTCGAATAGTGATATCTTTTACCGTAATTTGCAGCGAAACCGCAGTCTTACTCTTTTTGTACTCAAATTTTTTAAACATTTTTCTAACAAATATAGCTATATCACAAGATGCAATTTAGAAAATAAAATTTAGAAAATTGTGAGAAGACGATCTTTCTTAACAACGCTTAGTGTTGTCTTAAAACCAAATACTTTTGTGCCAACATATTTCAGCATCTTTTTAGATTCTGACAGATTTGCTATTATATTATTTGCCATTATATTATTATACTAAATCGCGCACAAATCATTTTTCCAAATTGCCTTATTATCATAATATAATCATTATACTTAATCAATATTCTTCCTTTGAAATTTAACGTTGTAGGTTCATCCTGGCCGACCAGCAACGGTGTATCGTCGAATAAGGGAGTAATTCAACCTTATCTCGAAATATTACCAAAAAAGGTTCCTACATTTATTACGGTATGCTTTTACATTAATAACATTAATAATTATAGATTAAAGGATTAAAGGTTTTTATAACTTCAAAATAATTGTCATTCTTTAATGCTAGAAAAGCAATTTTAATTATTATTTTAGCCACTGAAGGATATCGCAGTAGTGAGCGGACAACCGGCTAGATTCGAGTGTATTGTTCAAGCTGAACCACAGCCGAATATTCTTTGGTCAAAAGATCACAAGATCGTCGAAAATTCTGAAAGCTATGAGATCCAATACAGAAACGGTGTTTGTCGTCTCACTATAATGAGAGCTTTGCCCGGTACGAAAAGTAGTACTTTATACTGCCGTTGCTCCATAAATCTCTAATAGTTATTATATTATTTTATTCTTGCATTTTTACAAAATATTTTACTGTCTTAATAAAATAATTAGTATATCAGTATATAAGAAGCAATACTTTTGTATATCTGTTTGCAGAGGATGCCGGGTCTTATGCGTGTACGGCAACGAATAGCTTAGGTTCTACCGTAACATCTGCCAACTTGGAGGTTCCAGGTAATAGACGATCTATGTATGTTTCTACTTCGTAAAAATCTGATGAAGAAAGGAAAAGGAATAATTGAACGGTGAATTAAAGGTGGTGGAAAACCTAATTCTCTCTTAACTTCGATTTGCTAATGCCGGACATTTATATCATATTATATCATATTATTTGAGGTTATTATTTATAAAAGCCACAAATTAATATGGTGACGGAAATAATAACGTATTGTATGTGGTTTAATACACATCTTTTGAAAAAATTCTTGATTGAATTTCTGAATAATTGGAAATAAGCGACTACAATAATTCGATATCAAAATGCTTTTGATGCCAAAGCACGTAATCTGCTTCTTATCTTTTAATAAAGGATAAAGGATAAAGAACAATTTATGGCAATATAAAAAGATAAAAGTAAGTGGTGTTACTAACGACGTCGATAGGACAAAAGCGGATTAACTGTATCTCATTGAGCATAATTATTTTTATTGCATTTTATACAAACGTTCAAATCAATCTTTTGTCGAAAGCTAGTCAACTAAATCGAGCGAGTCAGTAATGAGTCAGTAATGAGCGACTAAAAAAAGAACTGAGAAACGCGGAACTTATTTTATCTAACTAATATAAAATATTTTAATCTTAGTAACAGATCTGGAAACAGATTAAAAAAACTTTTCATTTCTTGTCTATTTTACTTCTTACTTATATCTCATTTATTTCAAATATTCTATCTTTTCTTTAATAATATTATATTTTTTATTTATCCTTTATTTATCCACTAATTATTTCTTGCCAATTATTTCTTGCGTTATATAGATCGAAATTACAATACCTTTTTCAAGATAAGCTTTGATAAAATTAATGATTGAAAATCAAACAAAACAAAAGTGCAACAGAATGAAATAATTTAAGCCATATTCTTATAATTTAGAGATTAATATCATTTTAAATTACTTTATTTATGCATTATGTGCGTGATATTGTCGGAACTAGTCAAATTATTTAAAAATTTATTATGGTAAGAGAATATTGTTTATTATCGAATATTAAATTAAATACAATAAAATACAAACAATAAAATACGATAAAAGCTTTCAGTCAATATAGATGTGGCTTCTTATTTTATAGTTTTATAGTTTTTAAATTTCCATATTTTCTTTGTTTAAAAGCCGAAATTAATATTTTAAGCTAAATGGAATAAGGGTTCTACAGAGTGTCCCGCAGTATATGTATTATAACATCGCTCGTGAGAAGATAGACGAGAGCGAGATAAATGAAAATGTCTTATACCATTTTGCGATATTCGTAATAATTTTCGAGTTATTAAATATAAAAGTTGCACAAATAAAAGCGCGCGGGAAGAAAGTGTTTCACCCGCCTGACCCGTAGGACGGCCCAACGTAACGACAATGGCCATCCGACTCTCGATGATGGGCGGAACGCGCGTGGCAAGGGGAAGGATAATAGCCGCCGTTCACGCTTCCTATTCGTCCTATTCGTTCTACGAATCAGGCGGGCGAGCGTTTTCTCCCCGCGCGCTCTTATTTGTGCACTTTAATATTTAATAATTCGAAAATAATTGCGAATATCGCAAAATGATATAAGACATTTTTATTTATCTCGCTCCCGTTTACTTTCTCACGAACGGTGTTACACATGCTATGGGACTTTCTGTATTATAGTTATATTATAAATATATGCTATAAATATATATGCAGTTAACTCTTTGCGACGATAGTTGATACAGATAATTTGTGCATTTAACGAGTAAAATTCAAAAGATGGATTTACAAAACGCAATATTTCTGGCACAATTTTATAAAAGCCTAACGTTTTGTAAATTGTGTAAATGATTACTTTTTAACGTTTAATAAACATAATTAAAAACAATTTCAAAATACAATATTTTAATATGTTTCTTTATCGTAAAGAGTTAACTCTTAATTTATTAATTTCGCTAATTTATTAATTCACACTTGAATTCTCTTATATGTAAATAAACTTATGCTTTGTCTATGATCTAAACTTGGGTAATTGGTTTAATAAATTATTTTCACATTCTTGCCTATACTCCATCTTCCTATATTTTACCGTCTTCTGGTTTTTTTCTTGATATTTAGCAATATTGTGATGTGACAGCATTGTTAATGAATAAAAATCTAAGGAAAACATCTGATTAAAAAGAAACATTCTTTTGTACAAAGTATCAGTATTTGTTAAGTATACATACATAATTTTACATAACAATATGCTGCTATATTACTTTTTTACTTTTTATTGAACATTTCTTTATTGAACATTTCTTAATTTCGATAATTTGATAATTTTCTTACATTTAAGCTATGTATTTGCTAAAAATAATAGTAATTGTATTATAAAGAATATATTTTTATATAGCTTTAGATACATTGTTAAAAATAAAAATTTTGTCTTATTAAAATTAAGCGAGTTAATGATTGCATTATTTCACATATTATACATAACTTTTGTATTGTAAAAGTTTAATAATTTCTATCAATCTATAATTTCACTCAACTTATTTCCCATATAAAAATGACTTGATATGAAAATAGATGGTAAAGTAATCTCTCGTGGAATGTGGAAGAAAATATGAGTCGGCAATCCAAAAATATACGAAAGAAAAACAAGCGACGTTATTTGTGAAGAGAGTGTTAATCCGTTTCCTCCATGACTCAGTCATGCAATGAGAACTATTACGACATCAATATTTCAAAACAGTATCAAACAGCTATTTAATTACAGGCGCATCGTCATCAATATGCAATGCTTGCAATGATCAAAAGAAATGCGCGCTCAAGCATTTTCCACAGGATTTGCCAAAATACGTAACTTTAAAAGATTTGTTCCTGTCGCAAGACAAATACGTTAAACCCACATTGACAAATCGCGAACAACCATATGAATCCGTTTATGATCTCGGATCAACTGCAGATTACAGGTAGTTGCACCGATCATTTAATATCATTTATCAAATTTTGTTATGAAGCTATTATCAAATTATTGTATATTAACAGTTTTATAAAAAAAATAATTATGAAAAAACGAGGAGAGATACCATGCAGGAGATAAATTACGTAGGAAACGAGATAGATACTGTCTACTCAAAGAATGGAATTAACATCGGTGATTTATGTTTGGATATCAAACTTTCACTTCATAATAATGATGTAGTACACAGCAAGAAAAACGGTGAGTACTTAAAGTTGGAATCTACACCACATGATAATATCCATATTAAGTAATAATATTAATCGTATGTGTAAAATTATAAATATAATACGTATACTTACGGATACTAACAATAAGAGTAGATAAGAAAGGTAGATACTATCGAGTTTGCGGAGCAACTTGAAGAAATTCTATAGTGAATCTATGCAATTTTCAGTCGCATCGCCAATCCTTAAAAACAATTTTATATTATTTTATATTATTTTATTTCTCATGGTTGTCATTCAAAATAAAATATGATAATGGATAAAATATGTAAACTCGCGATGCTCTTAACAATATGTATGTTACGTTTGTCTTTAGAATTCTTAAATCATAAGATTATCACATGTAAAGGCTCTCTCATCATCTCGACTGAGATTATTTCATAGAATCTCAAAATAGATGCGTCGCTATGCGGCATCGTGAACGAAATGCGGTGATTCATGCGTGATCCACCTTTTTCATGATTATACTATACTATGTTCTTGGCGCGAAAATGCGGAATGGTACGTCCCTTCTTGAGTGAGCTATAACCGTATGTTCGTTCTTTACCACATTCTTTTTCCACATCGGCAATAGATATGTAAAATAAACTCAGAAAGCTGATGTAAATTAATATTAAGAACACATTACGTGTAAATTGCACGCGCGCCAAATACCACACAAGTATCGTAATCGGTGTGTGTTTTGCTCCGATTCGTCGATGTTAACAGTTAGATAGAATAAATCCTATTGCTTATAAATAAAAAATAACAATTACTTGGAGTCTACATTTATGTATGGGAAATATCTACGAAACTTTTAAAGTACTAAGATGTATAATTTCCTATATAATTTAACAAAGCTTCCTAGATTTGTAGGTATTAAAAATGTTTTAAAGACATAATTTGAGTCATGCGTGCGCATATGTTTTTAGAGTGCGATTAATTCATTAATTGCACTTCAAATTCATAAGAGTGATTTGCAAGAGTCCTCTCTCGAAGTTGCGATCAGGGGCTGCTCGTGCGGCTAAACTTGGCTGTGCCTGCGCATATACAACGAGAATATATGCTTTTCACCACAAAATTTCCAAGTTAAAAGAGAGACTAAACAATGCAAATAGATTGAGACAAAAACTAAAAAAAAAGAAGAGGGAAATTAAACCGAAAATATAACATGTATACTAAAAGTAGTGATTATAGAAAACGAAAAAATCTACAGATTTGTAAATATACTCGAAAAAGAAAAGGAAAGAAAGAAGGAAAAGGAAAAAAAGAAAGGAACAAAAATAACGTAGTATCTACCAATGCGCGTTCAAACTTGAGAGTCTAAAA